GGTGTAAGATGAGTGGTGTGTGATGAGTGGTGTGTGATGAGTGGTGTGAGATGAGTGGTGTAAGATGAGTGGTGTCAGTGGTGTAAGATGAGTGGTGTACTGCGCCTGCCACAAAACAGGCAACCGCGGCCCAGCGGCGACCACGCGCGCCGCAGCTCCTCCTGAAGGCTCTGTGTACTGCGCCTGCCACACAAAAGGCAGTCGCGGCCCAGCGGCGCCCACGCGCGCCGCAGCTGGTCCGGCTCTGTGCACTGCCCCTGCCACGAAATCTTCCTCCTGAAGGCTCTGTGCACTGCGCCTGCCACGAAATCTCCACTCCAGGTTCACCAAGTGCTGTGCCTGCGGCGAAATCTACATGACAGGCAGCCGTGGCTCAGCCGTGTAAGATGAGTGGAGTAAGATGAGTGGTGTGAGATGAGTGGTGTAAGATGAGTGGTGCAAGATGAGTGGAGTAAGATGAGTGGAGTAAGATATGCGGAGTAAGATGAGTGGAGTAAGATGAGTGAAGTAAGATGAGTGGTGTAAAATGAATGGTGCAAGATGAGTGGTGTAAGATGAGTGATGTAAGATGAGTGGTGTACGGTGAGTGATGTAAGTAAGATGAGTGGTGTAAGATGGGTGGTGTAAGATGAGTGGTTTAAGAGGAGTGGTGTAAGATGAGTGGTGTAAGAAGAGTGGTGTAAGATGAGTGGTGCAAGATGAGTGGTGTAAGATGAGTGGTGTGAGATGAGTGGAGTAAGATGAGTTGTAGTAAGATGAGTGGTGGAGGGGCGGCGGCGGAGGAGGAGGCAGACGCGGATGCGGAGCGGCGGGTGCAGAGCGGAAAACAAGAACCCTGCATAGTGATGTGGGGAAATATTTTATCTGCACAATTCAATTTTTTGTTTTTTGTACTAGGAAGATATTCTATGTCTATGTGCATACCAAATAATTTTCCATATTCTATTTGGTCGTCCGTTACTCTATATATATATATATAGTGTTTAAGGGGCCTCCTTCGATCAATAATGTCATTGCGCCGTAAACACACACATATATATATATGTGTAGGGGCCTCCTTCGATCAATAATGTCATTGCGCCGTAAACACACACATATATATATATGTGTGTGTGTAATATATATATATAGACATGAATTATATGTTTTTAAACCACCAACATTTCGCAATTTCGCCCCCTTCATTTCGCCCTTTCGAGGCGCAACAGGCCAGTCTGCGCTCGGAGCTGGCCCAGGTCGAGGCTCCGTTGCAGCGGCCAAAAAACGCTCCGATCGTGCAAGGGCCCCACCCTCCAAGACAGGTCTTAATCCAAAGTCAACAGAGCCTGGTGGAACGCCAAGAGGATAGGACTTTGATGGTCTTGCCTCATCCCCCATCGGAGTGGACCGAACGAAGAGATTTCTGGAATCCAAATAGGAAGACCCGGGGACAGGTCCCGAATGGTGGGAATCCCGCCAAAAACACGGTCTACATTCACCCCCAAATCCCGCACATGTAGATCACATTTGCAGTCCCATGGAGTGTTTGGGTATGATTTGAGGCCACTCCGCCATTTTGCAAAGGTCCGAAAGGATATATAGATGAACACGAGACTCAGTTGTTCCTCAACTAGGGCACGTAGTTTCCAGGGTCTTCTCAGATGTCCGGCCATTGGTTGCCCCAAACTGGATGCCCACTTGACCATTGGATGACTCTGAGACTAACTGTGCAATTGCAATGACAATCTTGAGACGGGTCCGTTAATGCTAGTCTGATCTAGCCACAGTCTGAGAATTTACTACTCGTGCTGCACATGAAGCGTCAAAACAGACCTACTCACACATATGCAAGATGCGTAGATGAAGCATCATACTAGCCAGACGTGCATGATTGCGTATGTGATATGTAGATGTTTGATGATGTTTGTTTCCACAAGTTGCCTGGTTGTTTCATGTGTCCAGCTGCACCTACTCCCTCACACTCTCAACATGCAAAGAAGCGAACGGGCCTGCGTGAGGCTTGCGTGAAACGATCACCTGCATTTCTTTTGCAATCAAAAAAGGCTGGAGGCCTGCGAAAAGTGAACGTTGTTTGACAACCCCGCACTGAGGATTAGATTAGAAGACATCATAAGACATCCAAGATTCTGGTACAACAACCACCCAGCCAAGCACCGACCCAGTTACACCTATAGATGAAGCCGCGCCTATGCCGCACAGGATGCGGAGCAGCCCTTGCGGCGACAGAACTCTGAGCGGGGGATCTGTGCAGAGGGTTGACCTGACAGACCAGGAAAGGGACGACCATTTTGCACCATATCCCAGACACTCCATGTAACATATGGCATATTGACATACCATTGGGCCACTGGGGTGGTTTCAGGGGTCAATGTAGGCATATATATTCCATACATGGACATGGAGCGTTTGGGTATCCCCATAGTGACCAACCATTTGCACATCAGTCCCGCTACGAGCCTCCATCGTTTCCCTTACTCGGCGAGTCGTTGTGTAAGGATTGTTTAGGGATTGTTCCATTGTTTCCCTTTGCTGGTCCCAAGCCTCCATCAGCGTTTCCCTTACTCTGCAAGTCTTATGTCTTATATGATTTATGTATAGGGATTTTTCCATAGATCTTGGTTAATGAGGTCTTTGATGGTCTAAGCCTCAACCTGGTTTTGCTAGCCAGGTGATGTTTTGATTTTCCTATGGTTGAATCCCCAGACCTGAGGAATATGTGTTGTTTCTAATTTTCCTCCAGGTTCCTGGACAGAAAATCCAAGTGAATGGTCCCGAAGCACCAGATGCTGCCAGATGAGGCTCAAAGCGGAGCTGGCCATGGCCAAGCAAATGCCGCGGGCTTGGGTAGGTACCAGTCAGAGTCCTTTCACATTGCTTCCATGGGAACCTCCAAGTGCCAGTGAAAGCATTTGCCAGTGCAACATGGTGAAACAATATAAGCCCTAAAGATGCGTGGATCCCACATTCCTCGATTCGAAGCCTGTGTTTTCTCATGTGAACTTTGGAATCATCAACCCATGGGTCGTCAATACTGGGGTCCTTCTTCACTTGATGATTAGGTATTTGTAAATTCCGGGGTGAACATTCATGATTTCATACATGCAGGCATCATTGTCGTTTGGCCTCGCCATTCCATAATATGTTCGGCGTCAGCAGTGGACAGTGGTCGTGCAGCATGCACTCTTCATCAACTGTAGGAGTCAAGTGGACTTAGTTAGTAATGGGTTTCTATGAAAAAAGGGGAGGCCCCGCAATGAAATTTCCCCAGGATGTTGTCCGGCGCCCGCTTGGCATTGCTTGACAGAAAGGATTGAACATCCAAGCTTCATGTTGCCTCCACCGGTGGCCCTGCATGACTCGATGAGGTTCAAGCATCAAGTGATTGGTCAAATGTTCGGGCGCATCCTGGTTGCTACAATGGGAGCCTGCTTGAAACGCGTGAGGAGCTGCTCGAGAACGCACGAAAACCTCAGCATTCTTGATCTATCACCATGCCTGCCCAACAACCACGTGGTGGCCTCTTTCAGAAACATAGATCCCGAATACTCCCGAATGGTCAGCGATGATTCATTTGGCAATCTATGTCGGAAAGAACTATGGTGGAAACATGTGGAAACATATGCAAAAAAAATATATATACAAGTCGAGTGCAACAGACCCCCGAAGAGTTGTCGAAGTTCGTAGATCCCCCGCGTAGATGTTTGATGCATTGGACACCGTTTCTATTGGTCTATGTAAGGGGACCACGACAGCTCAGTCGTCATTGGAAGCTTCGGAGCACCGGAGCGGGTGGCACATCTCGCGCCATGGCGAAGACCGTGGTGGTGGGTGGAGGCAGCTTTTGGGTGTGGAGTGGGAAGTCAGACCTGAAGCAGCTTCTGGGGCAAAGGGACTAAGGGATATAACAATTTGTAGACTGGAAAAGTGAGAAAAAAAAAAAGAGATGAGAGAACGAAAAACCCTGCGCTTTTGCAGGATGACCGTGGCACCTCATGTTCCGTGGGATGGTTTGGTGGATGGCTTGCATGGGGCATCTTTGAAAGATAGCAGAATAGGAAATGCTGAAGTGCTGGAACTTGCGAACTGCATAACTTTGGGCAGTGGAAAACTTAGCACATCTTATCACTTTGGTAGAGGCCCAAAAACCAAGTCGACTGCAACCTTTGCCGATTGGCCATCTGTAGGGGTGCGACGGTCCACCTGTGTTTGAGACGGTGAGACCATGTGAGACCAATAGAAAGTCACTTACATACCACCACTTTTGCTTCTTGTCGTGCGACTCTTCGGGTGTTTCCACACTGGAGTGTTCGACACGACCGAAAGAAAAAAACACTAGTGGCGACTCAGTGGCGACCTGGGTAAAACAAAGACTCAGCGGCAATCGTCTCCTGTGGTCGTTGCAAGGTATTGGCGGCTGTGCAGCAGCTCTTGCGTCGCTCAGCATGTGATTGGAGGAGTCAAGGTGCAACGGGTGTCCTTACCAATGTCCCAAAGTTGATGTAAAATCCGACTGTTTTATGCAAGTAGATCCTGTTGTACAGATTACAGCTAGACGAGCAAGTTAGCCAAGGGGATGTTCGGATTGAGGGATGAGAGCTGACCAAAGAGTGGATGTGTGGCTTTGTTTGCCAGCATGTTAGGCATGCATTCCCTTTGGCACAAGACATGAAAACCATGCACCGACGAATGCCCAAGCTCAAAAACTGAGCCAAAGACCTGTATCGGCTCCTGAGGCTACACCGGGCTGGCGCCGATGTGATCATCTACGAGGCTGTCACACAACCCCTTGGGCTGACATTGAGGATTGGGATCACTGGTGTTGAAGTTTGTTGATCCTAATTACCTTCTTGTCGTAACACTGCTGCTATATATATATATATGTATTTTGGTATATTATATAAAGTATATATACATATATCTCAAAAATCCCGGTACCAAGTTCTGAGGCTGTACCGAATGGTGAAACCACTGTCCCAAAGCGAGCAATGTCAGCCTAGCAGGAACGATTTTTTTGGTAGTGTTGGCGGTGGGGAGGTTTGTGTTGGGAATTGTAAGGCGTGGAACTTGCCACAGGCCGGGGGGGGCGGGAGAAGTGATGAGATGGAAAGAAGACAAAATGGTGCACATTCATATATAGTAAATCCAATCAACTCATGGATCAGAGGATGATGTACACTGTACACTCATCACGCCCATCTCCAATCCCACCATCTCCCAGACACTCCGTGTATGCCATATCAATCCATATCTGGCGGTTTGGGGGATCAATGTATGCTATTCCATACATGGATCCGTTTAGGCCTTACAAATCATAAGCCGCTCCCAGGTCTTCTGTTCGCCGCACGACCCAGGTCGAAGACTCGGACGAACTCGGAAGTGCGGACGTCAGCGTTCGGTAGGTATCGTGGATTGAGAGGACCAATGGCACAGACCCCAAGGTCGATGGTGGTTTAGTAGTAGACACCCTGACCAGTCCAGGACATCGAACGGGGCACCAGTGCCATTTCTCACCTCTGAAACCACTGAGCTGAACGGGAGAGGCTGTAGCAGAGGCTGAAACCACTGTGTTCCCGCGGAGGGCACCCGCTCCGGCACCCGGAGGGCACCGGAGCCTGCTGGGCGCCGGGATAGGCAGCGCCGGAGCTGAAAGAGCTGGGCGCCGGGATCAACGTCCAAGCAGTGGCTGTGAGCTGGGGACCTCAGGGGGCAGCTAGCAAGGGATGTTTTTGGAGTGTGCATCATGTAGTGTAGACTGTTGACACTTATGGACCATGGAGATGTGAAAACCTCGGCCTTTGTCCTCGGCCATAGTCCTGGGGCTTTGTGAATACACAACACTCACATTTTGGGGCTGTGGATGTGGTTTGGACACTCAAGAAATGGACCGCTGTGGGTGGAACTTCACCGTGGACGACAACGTGATCAATGATTGTTTGCCGACCTTTCTCAACCTTGAGATACGCCCGGACCCCAAGGATAGCTCAGCGGTGCCCGGTGCCTCCAGGAAATCCGTAGATCATGTGCCAAGTCACTGGGACCTTGTACCTGCAGCGAATGGTTACTGAGAATGACTCCATGACTGTGCTTTCTGAGATGTGTGACCTGACAATGACATTCAGGTCAAGCCGCTTGAATCACTGAAGCACTATCACTTTTGCTCTCATTGTTCTCCACTTTGGCTACAGCCCCAGGAATAGCCAGGCAGCACCTCAATTGCATTTCTGGGAGCTTTCTAAATCTGAGCGAACTGGTGAACTGTTGAACCCAAGCCAAACCAGGTGCTGACGAAACCCTGGTGAACTGACTGACTTGCGGGTGGTTGGGGTTGGATTGTCGAAACTCCAAGAGGTTGGATTGATCACCCCAACTGGGGTTGGATCGCTAGTGACTTACACAACAGGATGGTGAAATCGTTGGATGGCTTGAGAACCTGACAAGGTCAAGCTTTTAGCAGAAATCCTGTGATGAATGTGCCTGAGGCGATGATTTCTTTCATCATCCCACTTTGCAAATCAACATGGGCATTGTGTAGAGTTCTAGGAATGATATGAACTGAATTATATACTGCGCAATGTTTCCACACAGGCTTGAAAGGGGGTATATGTCCAAGGTTCCTGGATGCTCCCCCTGCGGCTCAGGTGTTTTGACCGATCTGGGCATTCCGCTGGAGAAGTTCCACGCCCCCTCAGAAGGCCCGGTAGAGCAACTGAGTAGATCTGAGCCTGGTTGGGGTGTCAAAGCTGGTCGTGGATCACCGACGTTGTCAGCTCATGTCAGCTCTACTTTATATTTTTTGGGGGGGTCATAGGTGGGGGACTGTGAGAGGTGTAGTAAAGTTCCTTATTTGATTCATGTTGCCGAGCTGCCTGGCCAAACAATAAGAATATTACAGAATATGATCAAATCATTGCCATGTATTGCCATGCCCGTTTCGTACTGATGCAATGCCCCGTTTCGGGGCTGTTTGGATCTCTTTTTCAGATATCTCCTTGTCCAAGTAGACTCAGGTGGTGCGGATGTTTTTGGGGCAGTAGACTCAGATAGGGAAGGGTCCAGGTCATCGGGGGATGAACCTCTCCGACCGATGAAGCCAATGCCCACCCGCCCCGACGTCGCCTTCTGTCAGCACCCGAGGGGATGCCATCTTCACCAGCGCAGTGGAATACTTCACGGCCGAAGGCTTCTTCATCTCTTCGGAGAAGGTGGGGTGCCTTGGCTCAATTTGCTGGGGAAAGCTCTGATCCGAGGCGAGCCTCGAGTAACTATTCTTGTTGGGGGAACAAGACTCACAATTCTGTTTCTTCTGGCTTGGTTGGGTTTCATGCCAGCAAAAAGCATTGCGTTGCATCGCTCAACAATTGAGATCGCCCTCACTCATCCAAAGTCTCGATTGGCATCACTTCTTTTGGATGCCTCATCTCCTTCACACACCGGCTGATGGCTAGCCAAGCATGTGCATGGGCGGAGACGGGTCAAAACCTGGGGCGTTCCAATGGATCGACTCCTCGACTGGTAAATTGTCATATGAGCACCTATACTAGTTACTACACTCCCATTGGAAGTGGACCATGACCTCTGAATAAAGACCATGTTTTTCTCTACAAACAGCTGGTGGCCATCCAGGAGAACCTACGTTTTTCCATGAGTTCAGAGAGTGTAGCCCGGTGGAGGGGTGAAGATTATCCGGCAAGCCCATGACCAAATCCTCATGAATCCTCCTGAATGCCACTGATCCAGGCTGGCAGCAGGTGCTTCACAGCCGCAGTTGTCGGCGCACCGCGCTGCTCGGGCTGGGAGAATCAGCCGAGAATGGTGTGGAGAATTGGTGGAAGAGTACGCCTCTCAAAGGAGGGGCTGGACGACTGTGAATATCTATGGATTTCTTGGGTGAAGATGATGAAGGATGGCATAAGTGGAGAATGGCCATGCCAGGAAAGCTGGTTGTGACATATCAAAGAACTAGCAGAGCTTGCAGAAACCCGGAGATGGTCCTATCTTTGTCAAGTGCAATCTTGAAAGTTTGTTCTCACCATTGGGCCGTGAGAAAATGCAACTCAGGAGTCCGCCTTTGAGCACTTGAGCAGCTAAATCCCGCACCCATTCAAAACATGGATATGGAAATCATTGGACATCCGTCAAGAACGAGTGGGCATGATGAGGCTTGTCGACCCAAGTGTGTGTCGGAGCATTAGGAGCTTGGTGCGTGGCCAAGTTTGTCTCGTGTCATTCCTTTGGAATCGGAGTTCGTTAAAAAGATGTCAAAAACGGACCGGACCTTGGAAGAAAAGAATGGATTGCACGACCGCACGTGTGAGTCTTCGTGGCACCAAGGGGCACCCACTCACCTCCATGGATAGCACCCCGAGCTCCGTGACTGCTGGTAGTGGTACATGTGATTTTTCATGAGTTGATGGTACTGTGGTAGTGATACATACATAATGGTACATGCATGGTACATACATACTGCTGGTAGTGGTACTTGTATGATCTTGTATGCATTTTCGCCTGGCTCAGGAAGTTCTGGACTTCCTGCCTGCGTTCCAAATGCGTTCCAAATATGCTCGGAGAAGACCCACTGATCCTCCCTCCAACAAACATGGTTACGTGGAACATGGCCTCGAAAGGAAGACGGTTATCCTCTACCAAACATGTGTTGGAAACTACATCCAGCTTGCTTTCTACATCCAGAGTATTCAAGCTTCTTCTACGTCCAGCGGTGGAAAACCCACTTCTCCCCTCGCCGCCTTCTTCCGCGCCCGAGCCGCGCCGAGCCGAAGAGCCGAGGCCAAGTTCCATAGCACGTTGTTGGCGGAGTGCCTTCGCGTCCTGGGTCAGGTGCGAGCAGGTATTTGGAGGGACGAGCTGAGGAACACACCAGGGTGTTAGTGTTTGTTGGTTGTTGGCTGTTTGTTGTTGTTGATTTTGCTTGTTCTTGTTCTTGTTCTTGTTGATGTTGATGTTGTTGTTGTTGTTGGTTGTTGGTTGTTGTTGGTTGGTTGGTTGGTTGGTTGGTTGGTTTTGGTGTTGGTGTTGTTGTTTTGTTTTGCATAAGAGGTCGTCCGGTCGTCCCCCATAGATGTTCCTGTAACATGTTGAGAAAATACATTTCTATAGTGCCGGCCTTTGTGAGTGCTTGGACCAGTTGGGGATGGTTTGAAGGATATTTTTGTCACCAATGTTGTCCAATCTGGACTGCCTTTAATATATGTTAATGGCCTTGAAGCCATGCGGTGGAACCTTTGGTGCTAATTTGATGGTGGGTGACCTTCAGGGACACCCAGAACTCAGGTTTGGATGCTTTGGTGAGTCTGGGCCCGCCGCAGTCCACGAATTACCACATCGCTTTTCAGTCGTATCTCCGAATCCTATTCCACATGCAGAATGCAGCCGCATGGTCAGGAGAAAGTGATCCTGAACAGCCGCTTCACACAGCTTGAGAGCTTTGAGGACGGGGCTAAGGGCTTCAGAAAGCGACGGTCGAAGGAGACCGAACATGCCTAGTAACATGCCTATAAGACCTATTGAGCAACCTGGACATTGGGGGCGAGGAAAGACCTTTGCCGATGTTTTGACTGGTGAAGCTGTCAAGCTAGGTGGTTCTCAATTGTATTCAATTATTGTTTTCATACATTTGTTGTTCATAAATGTCCAGGTCGAGCTATGCAGCAACCCACCAGTCATTAATGCCCTTCCTTGCCATCGTTTGCATCCATTTACCGCATTTTTCCAACAACGTTCGGCAAATGCTACTGCAAGTTTAAACCTCACAGAAACATACTTCTTACATCTAGCCATCTATATATAGCATATGTGATATGTGTGTTTGTTTGGTGGACTATCGGCAAGATACTTCACCGAATAGGATCACAGCATGGCAGTGTTGGCAGTGTTTTTGGGGCTGTTGAGCTGTGTTGGGCTGTTGGGCTGTGTTCCTGACATGGGCTTTGAGTTGCCCTGACGCTCAAGGACTCAAATCCCTTGGAGGGGTCAGACCCAATTGCTAGGTTTTGAGGGACCGGTCGGGCTGTGAACGGAGCGTTTGGGTGGGTGGCTTTTGGTGGGTTGGCCTGGGCAAATGCAGCAGAGACTGTGTACTGAAGAAAGGCCAAGCCTAGCTGGGGAGCAGGTTCGTGCGACAGTCGAGGATACACCGGATGCGCCGGTCGAGGGTTCCAACGGTTCTCTCCGGTTCTCTCCGGTTCTCTCTCCTGGCGCCCCTGATCTTTTTGCTTGAGCTCGGCCTGTTTCTTTTGATTTCTTTGCTTGCAATTTAACATTTGTTTTTTTCTTTTGTCCATGTTTTTGTCGGATAGAATTCAAATGTCCCGGCTGATTCATCAATTCGCCCGGTTGTTCTGGTTGCACCCTGTTCCTCCACAAGTCAAGTCTGCCTGAAAGAATGCAAAAGAACACAATTTGATGCATGGATTGTTCATGCAGAATCCCAAGGTCGTGACAAGATATTTTGAGATACTTCGAGCATGTCCCATACAGTCGGTCATCCTCAAACAGTGCAGATCGGTGGCCAAAAAGACTGCTTTAGCGGTTGCACGATGCAACACTTCTGTGGCCAACCTCAGGGTCACGCATGATCCTTTCCCCAAATGGGACAATGAATAGATGCACCACTGCGTCCAATAGATGCCTTTAGTATCCTTCTATGATTTTCTATGTGTCCTCTTCGTATTTTTTGTCATTCTCATCATCGCATTTGGGCATAGGGGCCTTGTCCTCGACATGCCACAGCTGGAGAAATCTTCCCCTTCACCCACGACGCGGTGTTCAGAACGCTGGAGGATATCGCAGTACCCCTTTGGAACCCACACTCCCTCGAACCCTCATGGAAGTGGAGTTCACCACCGGTTTTGTAGGGGGAAAATGGTCACCCAAGGGGCCATGCCATCGACTTCCACCATGATAAATTCAACAAAAACCGGGGAGCGCGCCCTGAATTGCATGCATAAGACCGGTCGGTGGTCCCGGTCCAGGTGTTACACTGGACCCATCGGTCGCGGAGGATCACGTGATCCTCCACTTCGAAAAGACAACCACCAAAGACCCGATGCCTCCCGCGCCCCAGCATCATCGGTGGGGTGTCGGGCCAAAGATCCTGAAGTTCAGACCGAGGTCAATGCCATTTGGTTTGTAAAAAGTATGAGAGTATATATATATATACAACTTGAGAAATTAGTCGTTTTTGGGAAGGTGCATGTCAGTCTTTGTAGGAGTCGGTTTGCGGATTTACAACCTTGCTCCATGTTTGTTTATTATTGTTATGTTTATATGTGTTTCTACATGCTTGTTCGATGGTGATAGGGTAAGACTAGCGGTAAGACTAGTTGTGAGCATGGCATGTTTTTGACATGTGCTTTGACCTTTTTCCCATC